CGTGGCTGAAATATAAGAGTGTTTGGTAACAATCATCCCTTGTTACCTTGGCACTCTTTCTTCTCCAACAAGTGTCTCCCATTGCTGTCCTTAACATTATCAAAAATGCATAGTAGTGGACGCATCTCCCTCTCCCTCAGATAGATAGATATCTGCCTATCTTCCATTTATATGTCCTTCCATTACTTTGCAAAGCAATTGTACTTGTATTTGTGCTTTGTACTTGTATGATGTCGTAAAGAATCACGTACATTAAAAGCACTCTATAAATGTAACATATACTAGCCAGGATCTGAAGAGGCTGCTCTTGTGATAACACTGCTTCTTTCACTGGCACCAGAAAGAGGATGACCCCCAACTTCAGCTCCCCCACACATGGTGCACCCTCAAAACCTACACCAAATTGCTAGGCAACCCTCCAGAGCAGATGTTCAGGTAGTGTTGAGGGCTGCAGGGAGGAACGGAGGGAGAAGAAGCCCTCTCCATTCATGCAAACACTCAGCTATTAGTGCTATACTGAAAACATAAAATGGACCTGTGACTTTTTCATAGGGCAACACCACTTATGATAAGTAGTGCATGTTCCTAGGCATAAAATGTAACACATCCCTGTCTAGCACAAACGAGCCACCCTTCTGGTTGTTGTGGGTTTTTCGGGGTCTCTGGTGGTGTTCTGAAGTTTGTTCTTCCTAACGTTTCACCAGTCTCTGTGGCCGGCATCTTCAGAGGAGAGCACTCTGTGCTCTGGTGTAGTTGGCTTGGGAGTGCAGTATTTATGGCTGTGAGATAGGTTTTTGTCTTTTTCTGTAGATGGGTGATTAGTGTGTCTTGTTGTTGGTGTATCACTACACACAAAAGACCAGCTAATGACACCCATCAACCACAGTGACAGATAGTCTCTTCTCCTTAGCACAACAATACACCCACAATAAATTATTTTTGTAACTATTTAAAAAGAACATCAACAGAGCAAGACAACAAAGGATTAACAACTGTCCACTTGTGTCACAGGCTGGGAAAGCTACAGGCACGGGAAAACCCTGTTGGAAAGCAGACGTCAGCCCTTTGCCGGGCTGCAGCAGCAACCTTTTAAACGTTTTGACCCCCTGCTATTAATAAGGCTCTTTGAGATCATGCTAGATGGAATATTTTTAACTCCTGGGTCTTGCCAAGACATACAGAGAACCCTTGCAAGCATAGCCTGTATTAGGCAACTCGGTTCACTTAATCTGCTGGGGACAGGTGTTGTCAGTTGAAGGAAAGATATTCATCATTTTAGACATCAAGGCAAGAAACCCTGAGCTCAACTGTTCACAATGCCCGGCCCCTTTAAATACTTAAAGATTGTTTTACTGATCTCTAGAGGATGGGGATTTAAGATGAGAGACTGCCTTGTTTAGATGAGGAGGGGAGGCAGAGCAGATTTTTAAAAATCCTTTTTTAATTGGGTATGATATATTTAATGAAACTTTCAAGGATTTGTTGATAGATATACAACTGTACAATCCCCTGTGGTGTTTTTTTTTTTTTTTTTTTGTGGCAGAAAAACCTCACTTCATTTGAGATGGGTTTAACTTGCTTTGTTGTTTGGGGAAATGTCCCTAACTGCACCAGAGACACAGCAGCCATTTACAGGAACTCATATAGCCCTTGATAGATGTTAGATTCAGCCCTTGAGGCAGAATCCAGAGTCCACTATGGATTCTGCCTCAAAGAGGCTTGTGGGCTGAAGAAAGAACAAGAAGCAACTCCTTGTCATCCTTTCAACCTAGAACACCTTCCTTGCATATGTATGTGACTCCACCCTTCTCTTTGCATTAGGTCGAGACCCCAGTCCTCCGCAGCCCTAGTCAGTCATGCTGTTAGCATGTAAAAGCCCCCACACCAAAGCCACCATGCCAGCCTGCCTCTCTCTATCATGGCTTTCAACAGAGAAATGCAGCACCATGAAGAGGGAAGGTTTTGGCTTGTACAGAGATAGAGGCTAGTTGAATTAGAGAAGGCTCCTCCTCTTCAGACTATTGTACTTCTTTGATTAAAGTTAGGACACAAGGACCACAGCCAGGGCACTCCTCTAGTTTCATGTGGGCTCCGCATGCTTTAAGCACACATGAATAGAGTTCATATTAACTCATCCAGAATCTGACATCCTCAGCAGTGTGTCTTATCTATTGCAGAGTTTTAAATTCCTCTAGCTATGCAGCAGAAGTGCAGGGATTCACAGAGCATAATAGCTTCAAGTTCCTGAGATCAGTCCAATCCCATTTCTCATCAACTGGCACTTACAGTACAGTCTCAATAACTCACCCTGAGACATTAGCGGTAGAAAAAAAAAGATTTCATTTACTTATAGTGAAACAGATTTGTAAGAAAACTAACAAACACGACTGCTTTGAACAAAAGGCCTCAACAGACTTAACGGACTACTTCCAAAAGACAACAGAGGGGGAGAAGTGGGTCGCTCTCTGAATTAGAGGCATGGAAGGAACTATTGGTTAGTGCTGCTGGTTATTGATATTCACACCAGACCAGAAAGGTCCCTCCCAGCTGCACCTACTAGAGGCAGCATGCGAGGTTATAAAACTCCCAACACTATCACATTGAAAGGATGCATGTGAGACAGGACTTGTTTAGTTTACAGCTTGCATAGCCATGCTGGCTTGGGGATTCTGGGAGGTGTAGGTAAAAAAGTAACTTTTGAAAACTCTGGTTTATCTCCTCTTTCTCAGTGACCTGAGTAGTCTTAAAAAAACACCAAAACAAAACAACTTCCCTCATTGTACGGGTAGCTCCAGCCACTTATCCAACTGCTCAGCCCTAAATTCCTTTTAGAAAAGCCCACAATCTGGCAGTGACTGTGAAATTATATCTCTCGTATGAGCAAACAGGGCTGGCTCCACCATTAGGCAGAATGAGGCAACAGCCTCAAGCATAGATTTGCCATTAAAAGGGGGTAAATTGTTATTCATTTATTTTATTATTGATGCATTTTAACTGCCACAGAGAGGAAGAGGTCCTTGTGTAATATTTCGTGTGTCAAAATAACTTGGAAGGCCTTAGGGTCCATGCAACCTGATTTGAGTGGGTGAAGGGCACCATTTTCTGTTTGACCCAAAACAGCAAAATATGTTGGGCCATCCCTGTAGTGACAACATATTGCTTTGGTGCCTTACCTAACACTTGTTTCAGAAGACTATAAAAGATGTGACAGACCAAATTACTGAGCTGGTGCCCTGGACGTGGCCCAATGTGTTATCAATTACTTTTGTAATTTGTTATAACAAATGTTATTTTAGTAACATTTCTGTTATCATCTCATCAGCTCACATAAGGTCACTAGTGTGATGCTCTTTTTCTTCCAAAGAAGGGGAATTAAAAAAATTTAGATCCCCTCCCCATTAAAGCAAGCTTGTAAAAAAAAAACATCCAGCAGCCAACTATGGTATGTTAAAAATCACCTCCTGGTGACTCCGTAGTAAAGCTTTATAAATTTTTGGACTACACAGGTATCTACAGACAGGTGGGCTAGCAGCAATTTTTGATAGTTTCCTTAGAGTAATAACATAAAGAAATGAATTTATTGCTTGTTATCGGTCCTTGTAAAATCTGCTCATTGCTACAGGAAAAGAAACAAACGAACTTAGTGGTCAGAATGCCAGGAAAAGAGTTCCTAAAGAGCCCAAATGGAAAATATGGGTTCTCAAAGCTCATGGCTGGTTTGAGAACGGCTGTGAATCAAGGACAAGTTGGAAGGATTTGCAGACTTAGTTCAGAAAGGAAAGATTCAGAATTCCTGCCAACATCAACTGCAGTGAAAGATTAAACCATGGCACCTTCCAGACATGCACTTCCTGGTTGAGTATCCCTGTCTGCTGTACGTCACTGGGACACATTTATAGGGCTAAGTAACAAGCTCTAAATATTCCAGGGGATTTACTGATTGCCCTGCCTTCCAGCTGCTCCATATCAGATGAAATGCAAAGGACTTTTACAAAAGTGCCCTTCCTCTAACATTTAAGAGCTGATTGCTTTGACTCATGCAATGAACACGATGAACAAGTAACACTGGGGAGAAATGCCAAGTGTCACTTTATTTGCTCTAGGTTTTATATTTAAATCAGGATTATCTTGTCTTCCTGTTCTTCCTGCTAGTGCATGACTATTCTATCTTGCATCATTTTAAAAGCAGACCCAGAAACATAAACTCTTTAAACAAAAAGGTGTCTTTCTATAAAGCTGGCATGTATACATTTTAATATTATTACATGAAAATTGGCTAACAAATGATGGGACAGTAAAGATCTAAAATTATTACAGAAGTCACGTTCAGTGCCACATTTTGTGGCCTCTGTGCTCAAAGTTCTAACCCAGAGGTGGACGGAGGGTAACAGATCTCTGAATCATTTGCAGCATATCAGCAAGGATTTCTGCGTCCCTTGTCTTTAATAAAAGCAGGAACACACTGAGCCCCATTCTAGGTTATACTGCTAAAATTAGGAAAACCAGATAGAAAGATAGAAATACAGCAAGCTCCATCTACAAATCAGATCCCCACAGCCTGAAGCCTGCCCATCTCTGATTTTGGCTACTGTCCCTGCATAGCCTTCCAGGACCTATTGAAGCTTGTAGTCCCACTGCTAACTAGATGCTGAATCAACTCATTGCAATTGTGGCCATTACTACTACTAGACACAGTGAGGCAGCTGCAGGAAGCAGGAAATACTAGTGGCCGGGAAAGGATAGCAAACCGAGAGCCATTTCATTTATTATTGTTGTATTTTTACCAGCAGGAATAGGAAAAGGAGCTTCTGGTCGTTACTGGCTATAGTAATCTGTGTAGTGTTGTTCAAAAGAAAGAAAGAAAAGTTAGTTCTTCCATCTGTTCTTCCATGAATAAGAGCTAAGATCTCATTCATTCCTTGTTAGTTAAAAAGTCTGCAAATTTTAGCTCCCTTCCCCATCGGCTCGGAAACAGATGCTTCAAAATCATTTGTGCTCACCTTGTTGCTCACAGGAGATCCATCCATTCCACTAAAGCTTCTCTGTCCTGATGGAGGCACCTGGTAGACATCATGCCGATGGAGACCATGGCCGGTGGGTACTTGATAGATTCCCTGATTGCCATAAGAAGGTGGCACCTGGTAGACCGGATCCCTAGGAGAACCATGCACATTTGGCCCTGGGGAGACCTTGTGCTGGTTAAAGGGTCGAGGTACAGATCCTGGGGTTGGAGCATCTTGGTTGGGGGGACTCTCCTGTACGGGGCCGATCAGAAGCTTCACCCGGTTGCCAGGGACAATGCCTTGCCGACCATGCAAGGAGCAAAGCCACCATCCTTCCAGTCCTTCTGTGTTCTGTTCAATCACTGTCAAAATGTCACCTTTGCGGAAGGCCAACTCTTCTGCACATTCAGGGACATTGTCATAGAGGGCTCGTGCCATAAGATTCTGTAAGACAAAACAGAGAGTGGGGGGGACTTACATACAATATCAAGTCTGGGGTGCAACTGAGTTCTTTAAAGAAGAGTAACTTGTACACACACATGGCATCAAACCGAAGACCTCAGATACCACTATGTTTAAAGAAAAAATCAAAATGGCACCTCACCCCAACCCAGAGCACACCTCTTTGGATCGCTTCTGACTTTCACAGAGAGAGGCAGACAGAGAGATTGAGACTGAGGGGCAGATAGAGAAGGGATGCAGGGAAATCAAACCCTCTCTGGGCTCCTAAAGCAGCCACTTTCTATAGAAAAAGAAAGTATCAGTATTCTTAGACAGGGGAGAAATCCAGACAACAAGAATTCAGGATTCTGGTTATAAAATACATGTCAAACACTGAGAAATCCCTGAGATATCCAATCAACAGCTTGTTCAGCTATACTTTTAAAGCTACAACTCCCACACAGCCTGAATCTTTCCTCATTTACATCTAAGATAAATGCCTGGCAAAATGCACCTCCCATGAACTTCTGGGACCCTAAGTTCTTTGCACTAATGAAGATACCGGTACAAGTCTGATGAAGTGGACATTGTGCTCCACGAAAGCTAGCAATTGCATGATTACTTCAGCGGTCTGTAAAGATATCACCAGCTCCCACATTTCTACTGAGAAAAATGTTGCTGTCTCCTTGCCATTGTCCTCCATCACATATACTGGCCTACATCTTTAAAAAAGATCTGTCCAAGTTGGGGAGAAAAAACCTGTGTTTTTCATCTCATCATATTTATCGAAAATGATAAATTATCATTGCTAAATTATAATTTCATTCTTACACATAGACCAAAAAATCTTGGGAAGCACACCTTTTGGTGAAATTTTCCTGCATAAGAAAATTATAATTATGTAATTAATAAATTACTTGGGGAGAACTGTGTTTTTCATCTCATCATATTTATCGAAAATGATAAATTATCATTGCTAAATTATAATTTCATTCTTACACATAGACCAAAAAATCTTGGGAAGCACACCTTTTGGTTTGGTGTTCCTGCATAAGAAAATTATAATTATGTAATTAATAAATTATATAATTAATAAATTATAATTATGTAATTAATAATTTTATTATAATAATTTTTCTTACATAATAAAAATTATGTTTGCTACCCTTATTTTGCACAGAAATCTAGTCTTTCACTTTGAAAAACTGTCTAGTATTTGCACATGGCAAACAGTGTTAAATTGTACTAAAGAGTTAGAAAAGTTGGATCCAAACTAAGGCCCATTTAAAAGTCCAGCATTCTCTTCCTATAGAGTGCCCACACAGTTGCCTCTGGGAAGCTCACAAGCAAGATGTAAGAATTTTCCTGCTTATGCTCTCCAGCCTAGTAGTATTGAGAGGCATACTGACAATGACAATTCACTTCTATTTTAACCTTAGTGTAATTCCTTGAAAATAGTAATTATAAAACACCTACTCCAGTGAGTTTTTGCAAACATAAGCAAGGTTATGTTTGCCAAGAAGACCTAATAGTGCAAAACCTTCAAACACTACTTTATTTCAAATGTGTGACAGTAATGGCTCTTATTTTTCAAGATTTTAATTATATACAAAATTATCCTTTTTTCTGTAGCAACATGACATTTTCCTGACAATTTTCTAGTAGCTGAAGCACTTAACCCAAAGTTTTGGGTCCAAAGAATTATATCTCAACTTTTAATTTATTTCCTGGGGTTTTTAATACTGATATTATGCTCATACATGACTGTATCCTACCCAGAAATCTGTTCAGACAGGGTGGCCTAAAAATATTTTAACAAGCAAACAAAACATCTGTAAAGTTTAGAGGTCTAGAATTCTGGTTAAAGACTGCACAAATGGAGACTACAAAATTTAGTTTCTTCAGAAACTTGTATTTCAGTGAAATTGAGTAAAAGCAAGTTTCTAGCCCTTGTGGGTGTAGAAAACATGATCAACACATGCAAGGTGCCATCCATTAAGGCTATGAGTGGGTTCCCAAAGGTCACGCCCAGTGGGATTTTCATAGCTCTTGATCATGCTCTTTCTCTTCCCCTGTTGCTATAAATTTGCCCCTGTCCATATATGGGCTCCCACTTTGAAAAATATCCATCCAAATAACTGCAAAAACACAATTTGAATGTTGGTATCAACTTAAAACCCTAAAAATATGATAGATTATGATAGTGATTCTGAAAGTAAAACTGGAGAGAAGGCAATGAGGGATAAAACCCTCAACGCTTGAAGCCAGTAGCAAAGCCGTCCCTAGAATTTTCAAAGTGCCTTCCAAAATTTCTTATTCAAAAACAAATGCACCATTTAGATTGCTTCCTTATTATTAATCAGGTTCACAAGTTACAAGCCATGATGTCATTTTTTGAAATCTGGCTTGTTGCAATGCTTCACCCCAGTCTGCCTATAAGTCATGGTTTGTTAACTATCCAGAATCTGAACCTACAGTTTGTTGTCTGATTACAAACTAGCTTGCTCAAATGAGGCAAACCTATAAGGCAAAGAGCAGCACTACTATGTATACCCAAATGATCAGAGTCACAAAAACACCAGGGCCTAACTTTTGCATCCTTTAGAGCAGGGGCCGGGAGAATCTTTGGATTTCCAGGTGTTTGTCCCACAACTGTAACTTCCACAGACCCTTAACTTTGGCCATGCTGGGTGGAGCTGAAAGAGGAGCTACAAGCCAAAACATTGGGAAGGCCAATGGTTCCAGATCCCTCGCTCTCCACTTTGTCATACAACAGAAACCTAACTTATATGCCTCTCTAAAAATATGCCACCTCTGTTTGCAGCGATCCCGGAGAAGGGATCGCTATGCGAATTCGTCGTTATACGGTGCGTTCGGTATGCGAGGCACCACTGTACATGGCTGTCTGGAAGATTCAGTACCAAGGTTGTCTGCCAAACTAGGCATTCATAGGAAAGCAGACAAGCTGTATAGGCTGTCATTCTTGGAAGCCTTTCATAAGGCCCCAAACACTTCATTTCTTGGCTCAGCCGGTAAGAGCAAAGCAGACTGGCAGCTATTCGTCTGTCTACTCCTGTACTTCTGAAGAAGGGAGACAGCTACAGACAAATTGCAAACTGTCCAAGTTCACAGGGAAAGGTACTGTATCTGAGGAAATTTAAAGACACACACACAAGAGATACAGCAGATATACAATCTTACATGCTAATTAAGTTGAGGTTTAGTGGCTTCAGTGAATTTTTTCAACGCCTCATATGTCATTTCAAATGAGTATTGTGTTGCTAACCTTTTTTTTTAAAGCTAGCATCCTGTACCCTCTTGCCGGGGGGGGGGGACCCATTAAATTCAATGTGCCTTATTGCTAAGTAGGCAACATATGGCATTGCCCCTATAGAGTGAAACTCTCTTAGCAGATATGAAACTCCATCTCTTTTTGTCCCCCCTCCCCACCATGCAAATCAGGTTGACAACTATTTTGTTTACTTCAGTTCCTAAATGATTTTATTCTCGCTCATTGAAAGTAAGTTATTTCTAAAGTAATTTTCAGTGAACCTTTCAAAGGGAAAGACTAAACAGGACATACAAAACAGCTCAGCTTCTTAGCAACCTGAGACAGGGCTTATTAGAAATGATGTCAGCTAATCTCTGAAACCTGCCCACTGGGTATTTTCATTCTGAGATGACAGAATAGCAGCACCCCATTCCCCGCGGGAAGGTCCCAAAGCATATCATAAAGGAGATAACAAATTCAAGTATGAGGGACTATGCAAATCGGCCTCAGCTCTGAAGAAATACAGCTATGTATTCATAGGTGTATACACATACACATGCCCTCTCCTTCTGTTGACACTGTGTGATTTATTTTAATTAAGAATAAGACTGTGGTGTAAAAAGGTCATTTGAAGGTAAAATTACACTAATTTGATGGAATGAGAGACAGCGTTAAAGAGGGTACAGAACTGATTGAATGTATTTTAGGCAAGCCTCGAGCTAATTAAAGGAACTTTAGCTGATCAATCATGTGTAAGTGGCTACAGTGAAATAAATTTGCATATTGTTAAAATATGAACACAGGTGTCTTTTTTGATAAATCTTCTGAAGATTTTGCTTTCACTGTTGCTGGAACATTTGATGCCAGAAACAACAGAACAATTTAAAGATTAACCCCCACCGGTCAACAACACCCCCCCATCAATGAAGGCAATTAATTTTCTGATACTGTAGCATCTATTTGCTCCTGTACAAGACTTAAATTCACAACCAAAACATGAACCCAGAGCTTGGAAATAATTAGTAACATTTTCCCCAATAGGCATCAGGTTGAGATTGTCACTTTATTAAGGGGCATCACTTCCCTTCTACAGCATAACTGCAACTTCTTTGTTACTGTTATAGTTATAGAGATATAACCTTACTAAATGATGGAGGAGGAATAGCACATTGTTCATGTACTGCTTAGTGCTGTGCTCTATATTCTGTTGTGGATGTTGAGGCAACAACCACGTGGACAAAAGGAGCACGTATTTCTTACCACGAGGCAACAGTTTGTATGGTTCAGGTTTTTTTCATTAAAAAAGAAGTACAGTGGTGCCTTGCTTAACACTTACCCCACTTGACGACGAATCCGCTTCATGATGAAGTTTTTGCGAGCGCTTTTGCGATCGCAAAACAATGTTTGAATGGGTTTTTTTCGCTTTGCAATGATCGGTTCCCTGCTTCGGGAACCGATTTTTCCCAGTACGACGATCAAAAACAGCTGATCGTAGGGTTTCAAAATGGCCACTGGGTGTACAAAATGGCTCCCAGCTGTGTTTAGGAAGGCTTTTTTGCAAGACAGGGAGCAGAAAATGGCCGCCCTATGGAGGATCTTCACTGGACAGTGAGTTATTCAGCCCACTGGAACGCATTGAACGGGTTTTCAATCTATTTCAATGGGATTTTTTATTTCACTTGACAAGGATATTGCTTAACAGCGATTTTGCTAGAACAGATTGTCCTCGTCA